AGAATTATTATTCAGATGTTGCTAAAATGACTGATATGTGTTCAAGAAGGATATTACTTCCTCAAGACAGATGGAGGCTTATTGGTAGGATGCCATTTGAACTGTACTCTGAAGACTAGATCTGGAGTACAAATGAGTACAGTGGATATTTCAGGTGAAGGCACTACCGTGAGCATAGGTAAGGGGAGAAAGTCAAATACAAAGTGTTAGATCAAATATCAAAAACTTAGATATTTCACGTGGGTCAGACAGGAAACATAAATGATATCTAAAATGCTAAATAGCAACTGACGCTTGACCTTGGTGTTAGGTGACTGAAGAGATCTTTCGATATACTGCTGTACAGCAGAGTAACTGTTACACATTTTTTGAACATTCTGAATTGAAATTTTGGAGGGTGCCAGGTGTGGTGGCTCATACCTATAATCCCAGCACTTTGGGAAGCCGAGGTATGTAGATCACCTAAGGTCAGGAGTTCAAGACCACCTGACCAACATGGTGAAAATACATATTTACTAAAAATACAAAAATTAGCTGGACATGGTGGCATGCACCTGTAATCCCAGCTGCTGGGGAGGCTAAGGCAGAAGAATCGCTTGTACCTGGGAGGCGGAGGTTGCAGTGAGCTGAGATTGTGCCATTGCATTCTGGCCTGGGCAACAAGAGCGCAACTCTGTCTCAAAAAAATTTAAAAAAATAAAAAATAAATAAAATTTTGGAAGGGTGAGGAAAACAAATATAAATAAAGCTCTAATGGACAATTGATTGTCTTGTATAACCTCTGAGGAGCACAGCTAAGTTCACAGGCCATCGTGCTCGTGGTTCACCATTACTTTAAACTTGTAGCCTCATTCTTGAAAGTTTATTTTTAAATTTATGGTAAATTTAGTAACTCCCTAATCTTTAAACATAAATGGCTATTTAATACTTTGTGTATGAGAGTTACTAGAACCAGTCATGGGGTTCTTTCTGTTCTATTTTATGTGGAGTTCAACATTTTTGGAGAATCCTCCTCCATCCCACTGACACATTTTTGAAGAATTCCTTTCCAGAAGTTTCTTCTCCCCCTGATGCGCTGTCATTTATATTCCCACTTAAGCATTTTGATATCTTGTTTTAGTGTCCTAAAAGTAAAGCTTTTAGGATTGTGCAAAATGAATGAGCTGCAGTTTGTTTCATGATAAGTCTTACCACTTGCAGGTAGAAGACCTCAATCCTTCCTGATCTCATTTGATCTTCGTCATTTTTACACAGACAATAAAGCACATCATGGTCACACTTCCCTTTGATGCATGTCCTTGTATCCTTTACTTATATCAGGATCATGAAAATCCTGTTGCTCATTAACTTTGTCAGTTTAAATAGAACCCCTCACAAAGCACGTTGAATAAGCATCCGAAAGTATGACATGCAGCGGTGTATGGAGGCGCCAATCATGTGTTTCACCTACTCTGTCATTTCGGTACTTTCTGCTCCCTAAGAACGCCACATACTGAAAGAGGTGGACAACTGAAGGAGATAGATTCAATGCTTGATTTGTTGAGTTGCTAAATGCAGCTGGGACAGGTAATTAAACAGTCCTGCTCCCGCAGAGAAGCCTGTAGCAATGTAACATGAAATAATAGAAACCCAGCTGTACTCAGGTTTAGATTCAGAACTAATATTAGGTAGGCATCCTTCAGATTGACAGATTTAGTAAACATCATTTCTGGTTTATTTGTTCAGCTTGATTGAAGATAGAGCATGTATGTTTTGCTCACCATTTAAGTTTGCTAGGGAGCCTGTGGTGTTTACAGATATCTGGGGGAATAGCCTAGAAGGCACAACCCATGTCTGGAGGGCATGGGATGACATGGGTGAGCCTCTGTGAATCCTGATTTCAGCTGTTCCATGGAGGTGGGAATGGGGGTCATCATGTGAGCAGATTCGGATTGGAAGGGGATTGGAACCATTTCTTGCCTTAACTCTTTTATCTTGGATGAGGGCATATTATTATGTAAGTAGCAAAGATCTCTGTGTGTATAGTGGGATCTTTGTTTTAATTTGGGCACTTATTTCTATGCAGAAGTTGTTACCACCATTTACTCATTTGCTCAAACCAGAAATTTAGCAATTATCCTTTTTGCTCACCTCCCACAAGCCATCCCCCAGTAGGCTTTTTTGTAGGGCTGACTCACTGTTATCCCTCAAGTCTCACCTTAAGTGTCCCCTTCAATGTGGAGCCTCCTCTGACCAACTTTCCAAAATGGCCTCGACCACAGGTCGTGGCCTCTGTTGCCATGACCCTGATTACTTCCTTGTAGTACTTCTCACAGTAACTGCTTGTTTGTTTTTTACACAATGGTCATACATTCCTTGGATGCATTTCCTTGTATTCCGTGCTTATCATATCAGAACTGTGGTAATCCTGCTGCTTGTTGGTTGGCTGGTTATTTATGTATTTGCTTTGTCCACTTACCTTTTTGCCTATTTATTATCTGTCTGCCATGCTGGGTGTTAGTTCCAGGGGGGCAAAGACTTCATCTTGTATTTCCAGCTCACAACCCAATGTCTTGCCCATAGTTTGTACCCTGTACATATATGCTGGATATCTTGTCCAAACTATGTCACAGATCCGTGGTATGCTGGCAAGTTTCTAGCTCTCAAAAAGAAAACAACATCAAAAAAAGGCAGCTCCAATTTGTAGCATGTACAAATATCTGTGGTGTAAATACTGCCACCATGGCAGGTATGAAGCTACCAAGATGGCATCGCTGATCAGTGAGTTGAGAGGCAATGCACAGTAGCACTTTATTGCTGCAGGCCTCTCTGCAGAAGTAGAGCTGTTTAATTACCTGTCCCACCTGCATTTAGCAGCTAACCAAATCAAGCATTTCATGTGTCTCGTTCAGTTGTCCACCCCTCAGTATTCTTTGAGTTCTGATAGAGAGTGTTCCTCTCTGTACAGATATAGTAGATATAAATCACTTCATGAACATAGCTATTAGTAAAAGAGTGAAAAATAATTAGGAAGTGATGGATTTTGAGTATTTGTTACATTTATTTTTATTAATTGTAACTTTATATGGTTTAATTTTTCATGATAGCTGTGCTTAACCACTGACTTGCAAAATCACTGAGAATTGAATAGTCTGCTCTCAAGCCAGTATAAGCCCCAGCACCACACTGGGGATGAGCTATGGTGGATCCAGTGGCACCTCTCTGCCCTATCGCATCTGGCTCATAAACAAGGAAGGAAGACAGTTGGCAGAGATGGGTGGTAAATTGTTAATTCAGGAACATTTCTCTGAAAGCTTTTCCTCACCTCCTCTAGACGTCCTGCTACATGACACTAATATCTCTTTAGCGTATCCGTACCCATGATTTGATACGATGACAAGAGAATGAAGTGGCAGCAGTGAGGAAGTGAGAAAGCACAGACAGGGAACAGGAAGAAAAACACTCTTCACCTTCCATTTAGAGAACTAGAACATCTTCTTGCCAGAGATGGTTGTAGATCCTGAAGTGCTTAGAGATCAGGAGCATTCGATCTTCAGGAAATTTTCCCAGAGCTGGAAGTCCCTCATGCCTTCACTGAGGTCTTAGCTAGACTCCTTGCCGCTGCACATTTATCTGCATGTCTATAGCAGGACAGAAGTGAGCCTCGGATGGTGTCTGAAGCAAGGCCTGTGGCACTCTGGGGACTGAAAGCAGAAGACGGAGGGAGGTGGCAAGCTCAGGGATAGAGGATCACAGAGAATAGGAAGAGAGCCACATGGTGGATGCACCGCCACCCTGTGGAGAGTGTTCTCCTTATAAATTGTTGTTAGAGGTAGGTCTGGTATCTTTAGGTATCAGACTATTGATATAGGAACTGTCAATCATAATGAGTATCATTTACCGTATTTGAGATTATAAGGCCACAATGACAAATCATTAGTCTGTCTTTGAAAGTCAGGGGAATGGAGTTTGGTGAATGCCCTTGACCATTACAACCAACAAACATAAGTAGAACTAAGACACTCATCTCTTTACTCGACATTGGCTAGAGCTTCTCAGCTCTTGACTCATATCTTAGCCCATACGAACCCTCATAGACCTAGAATGGGTAAATGATTGCCTTTCCCAAATAGGAAATGTTTTCACTTAAATTGGCTAGATGGAAAGGGGCATCTTAGATGAGGCACTATCTTTCATGGATTGATTCAAATAACATTTAATGAACCCATGTTTAGTGTGGGGTACTGTTCCAGGGCTGAGGTTATAGAGATTAGAGGTATAAACTCTCCATTCAACTAAGGGGTGGAGGAGGGACAATCAAGAAACTAGGAATTCTCAACATGGTGAAACCCTGTCTCTAGTAAAAATACAAAAAAATTAGCTGGGCGTGGTGGTGCTTGCCTGTTGGAAAGCTGAGGTACGAGAATTGCTTGAACCCTGGAGGTGGAGGTTCCAGTGAGCCGAGATTGCACCACTGTACTCCTGCACTCCAGCCTAGGCAACACAGTGAGACTGTGTCTCAAAAAAAAAAAAAAAGAAAGAAATTCTAAGCCTAGTATGTTGTGAGCTATGATGGAGAGGTGCACAGGACGGTCTTGAACCCCAGATGGAGGCATCAGGGCTTCCTGCCATGGTATTTAAGTGTGAGTAGAAATTAATTAGATAATAAAGGAAAGTTAGGTTGTTCTGGGGGACGGGGAGCCCCATAGAAAAGTGAAACACAGCATACATACTGGGGACTACCAGAAGTGTGGACTGGACTGGAGCTTAGAATTGAAGGTAAGACTGTCTACTTCCATCTCTTCATTTCCAGGGAATCTGGAAAGAAAAGAGGAGCAAGAACAAGATGACCAATGACTTCATAATTTTACCTGACACTAGTTTTCCCATTATTGTCTTCTTTTACGATTTTGGTGATACGATTTAAGAGGTGGAGTTTTTCACTTCAAAATAGCACTGGATGGAGGACGAACAGAAGGATGTGTCGTCATGTTTGATCATTGCTTTGTGTTTTGCCACAGCTGCTGCCTATTCACACTCTGAGGCTTGGTGTGGAAGTGGACTCCTTTGATGGGCACCATTATATTTCTTCAATCGTTCCTGGTGGTCCTGTTGATACATTGGGTCTCCTACAGCCAGAAGATGAGCTGCTTGAGGTAAAATTTATGGGGAAAGAAAGACACAGGCAGAAATTTTTAAGTTTCAGAAAAATGTGTTGTCATCACAAATCTCCTGAGTTATAGTGTCACCAATGCCAAGGTAATGTGAACCTCTTAGATTGAAAAAAAAAAATGAACAGCTTACTGGATGATAAAGAAGTAGCTTTGCTTCAGTTCATTTTCCCCATCTTTGGGTCTCCTGAGATGTTCTTTATTTAAATGAATGACTAGGAAAGAAATTTGGTGTAGTATATTATATTCTTTTTTTAGCAGAATTTGAATCCCTGAGCCTTGTTGCTGCATGTAGCCTCATTTATTTACAGGATTTATTACTTCTTTTTTTTTTTTTTTGAGACGGAGTCCTGCTCTGTTGCCCAAGCTAGAGTGCAGTGCTGTGATCTCCTCCCTGGTTCAAGTGATTCTCCTGCCTCAGCCTCCTGAGTAGCTGGGAGTATAGGCGCCCACAATCATGCCCAGCTAATTTTTGTATTTTTGGTAAAGACAGGGTTTCACCATCTTGGCCAGGCTGGTCTCAAACTCCTGATCTTGTAATCCACCTGCCTTGGCCTCCCAAAGTGCTAGGATTACAGGTGTGAACCACTGTGCCCAGCCTATTGATTATTTCTAACAACAAGGATTACAGCTGAATGACCTCAGGCATACTGGTTTTCACATTTTCTCCTTGGGATGACTCCCTCAAAATGGCAGCCTCTATTGAGCTTGCCCAGGCTCTCCAGCCTCTCTCTTTAATCAAAGCAGTTCTAGAGCACCTATGCTTTGAAAGGACTTTCTTGAGAGGAAAGGTCTTGGGGAAAGATCACACAAAACAACTGCATAGAAGAGGGTTCTCCCAAGAGTTAGGTTACATAAGACGCCCTAAGTTGGATTCAGTAGATTCAACTTAGTAGCTTTAGCCAAGATCAGAATCCCATGGGCCCTGATTTTAGAGTTTTTTTTTTTTTTTCTAAGATTTATGTTTGCTCACAGTGAAATGTCAGGGATAGCAAGTAGGTCTTATGTTGGGTGCAACTGCAATTTATTAGTAGTGTGTAGCCACCTAAAGGAGTATAAAGGGAGGGATTCTGGTTGAATTTCAATTTCAGAGGGAAAAGTGCTATGACTAGTTATCAAATTCTGTCATAAGCATGGGAAGGTAGGGTATTGGAGTCCTGTTGTAAGATGTAGTAAGTTGCTTATTTTTAGAGGTATTCAAGGGAAGGGTATTGGGCTTCTTATTGCAGATTCATGCCCTGTTTTATTAGAGGAATTATGCTTTCTTTTTGGTCTTTCTCTTATTGGCTGGGCATGGGCATATCTTTGTGGATATCATCCGTGATAATTTGTAGATTGAAGACCATTGCTGTAGTATATAGTTATTAGGTGTTAAGAAATGAGATACATTTGTTTGGGATAAGTGGAGGTATGAGTATAACCAATTTAGTTCATTTTTTTCTTTCCTTTTTCGTTTTTAAGAGACAGGGTTTCACCATGTTGGCCAGGATGGTCTCGAACTCCTGACCTCATTATCCACCCACCTCGGCCTCCCAAAGTGCTGGGATTACAGGCTTGAGCCACCGTGCCCAGCTGTTTTTTTTCTTTTACTTTTGCTTTTTTTTTTTTTTTTTTTCAGATGGGGTCTGGCTAGGTTGCCCAAGCTGGTCTCAAACTCCTGAACTCTAATAATCCACTCACCTCAGTCTCCCAAATTGCTGGGATTACATGTGTGAGCCACTGCTCTCGGTCTACTGTTGTTTTTTTTTTTTTTTAATGGCAAAATATATATAACATGAAATTTAACATTTAACCTTTTTTCCGTTTTTTTTAAAATTGCATTTTAGGTTTTGGGGTACATGTGAAGAACATGCAAGATTGTTGCATAGGTACACACATGGCAACGTGATTTGCTGCCTTCCTCCCCTTCACCTATATCTGGCATTTCTCCCCATGCTATCTCTCCCCACCTCCCCACCCGCCACTGTCCCTCCCCTGTTTCCCCCCAACAGACCCCAGTGTGTGATGCTCCCCTCCCTGTGTCCATGTGTTCTTATTGTTCAACACCCGCCTATGAGTGAGAACATGTGGTGTTTGATTTTCTGTTCCTGTGTCAGTTTGCTGAGAATGATGGTTTCCAGGTTCATCCATGTCCCTACAAAGGACACGAACTCATCATTTTTGATGGCTGCATAATATTCCATGGTGTACATGTGCCACATTTTCCCTGTCCAGTCTATCATCGATGGGCATTTGGGTTGGTTCCAGGTCTTTG